TTTTTCTGCAAAAAATGACTTTGAGTGGGTCCCTCAGGCCTTAGAAAGTTTGGGTATGTTGACAACAGTAATAATATGATAGGGAAGTTCTAGATTTTTAGAAGGCGCACAGATATGTACGAGTAGCGGAATGAAAGGAATGGAATCTTGAAATGCCAACAACGAATCATTTGAATACTCATGCATTTTTTCCATAAACTTTAACTCACTTAATTGGCGATGAATGTCCATTGCGCTTTCACTCCGTACGATCAAAAATCGAATGATCGCCCGTATCGGGTGACCTCGCAGTCAGACATGCTAAACATTGGTGTCTGGTTCATCAAGGTTACAATCTCACCATGGTTGCAGGGAGCATATTGATACTGATAACTGCAAGGCCGTTTCCCCACACATCATCACATTGTCAGTATACTCAAACAAAAATTTCTGAGGGACCCCTCAGAATCGTTTCTTGAAGAAAAAAAAAAAAGGAAACTTACGTCTTTAGAGGATGCGACTGACTTCCATATAATAAAGTTCTTTGCATAAATATTTATTATCCCAGACAACGTTACAACGTCTTAAAGATGTCTAACAATAAAAGCTATTTTATATTTTTATAAAACATGTTATAAAATTATCAAGAAATGACCGGATTTATGATGTTGAACTTTGAGATGTCTTATAAATGTTCTATACAAAATAAATATTAATTATGCGGAAATACAAAAAGAATACAACAGAAATTAGACAGAAATTAGTGTTAGTATTAAATAAATTAATGTTAAATAAATTAGTAAATCAATTATTTAGTTTTGTTATATTTAATTATAATCACTTATTTAATTTTATTAATTTATTTATTAATTTATTTATCTCTTATATGTGTATTGCAATAGAAATTTTTATCGTTAAAAGAATGAAATAAGTATTAAAACCATAATCTTATTAAAATGTGATTTAAATGTCATTCTGAAGATGCTGTATTTAACCGTGACATTATTAACTGTGAATTTCTTAAATTGCAAAATACCATCTATCGAGCCGAGATCTACAAAATCTAATTAAGTTAATAGTAAATTATTTCCATATTTACATCTTAAAGATATATTTAGGATATCTTTTGATAAGTCTTTAAGATATAATATTAAAGACGTTTTTACAGGATGCGTTTCTTGATCTTAAAAATATCTTAAGGCATTTTTAAGATGCCTTGTCAACATTGCATGTTGTCTGAGATCTTATTATCTTCTGTAAGATAAATGTTGCAGTTTACAAATATTGTGAGATATGATTAATGAAAACTAAAGACAAGTAAATAAATAGCATAAAAGTGCATTGAAGAGCGTGATTATTGTTTTATAAAATCACTGCGTTCAGGCCAATGTAAATATACCTTAACGCCTTGTTGGTTGCTGGATTTGTTGCATATGCTCAGGCTCCTGCGCAGATGTTTCTAAAAAATAATTAATACGCATACCCACAATCTATATGTTACAAATAATTCAATATATGTCAAAGAGAAAGCAATAAGCTTCGAGATTATAAGTATTAAAAGAGTATCTAAAGTCATTTGTTTTAATATGATTATTTTGTGACAACTTTTCTTATATATTGTATTTATAACTTTAAGAAAAATCATTTTCCATGATTAAATATGCATTAACACATATCTGCGAATTTTATATCGAAAACAAAAAAATTTTTTAAACTTAAATCTTTTTTATTAATATGTAAAATCATGGAGAGAATGATCAACAAAAGAATAATTTGATGAGCAAAAAAATATGAGAAAGTGGATCAAAACTCAGGAACTTTAAGATAAAAAATTTTATTGTTTTTATTGATAATTTAACAAAAGGTATTAGAGAAGTAAATTTTTTATTAAATCTGATCTTTTTTAGTAAAAAGACAACGAAAAGAATAACGAATTGTCTTTTTTAAAATAAGAATAACGAATTATCTTTTAGAATCAATAATTAATAACGATAATTATTTTTAGTTACCTTTTTGACTCGACAACAAATAACAGTAACAAGTTACTTGTAAAAAGTAATTTTCTCTAAACCTTACTTTGTAGATATATATTAATGCATATATTGTAATTAGAGAAAAGTTTCTTTCCAAATATATAAATACGATACATAAGAAAAAGCAACAATCACAAAAAAAAAACTTATATTCAGATAAAACAGATGATTTTTGAATCCTCTAATTTTGCAAATTATGGCATGATATAATAACATATTAATGCATAATTATTATAAAATATAAGCAAAAGAAAAAGCTAACAATAAGATTTTATTGTTCTAATCACAGCAAGAAATGACATATAATTCTAATAAAATAAAAAAATATAAAAAATAAGCTGAATGTAGAGAAGACAATGGATTAATATTGAACTATGTGTTATCAAAATAAATATTAAAATTAAAGTTAAATGTTATACGTGTATTACATATATTCATATAGAATAAAATATATATAGAATTAAAACAGAAACTTTTTAAAATCAACTCTACATAATTTTATTATATCTTTCAGTTACTAATAAATTTCTGAAATAAAAATTTATTACCTTGTATTCAGTCTTTTTAAAATTTGTATCATCTTTTAATAATAGTAAAATGAATGTATTAAATTATACTGCACATATTATTAATATAATTAACTAATCAATTTCACATACTTTTATTATTATGTTAAGCTACTATAATTTTTGTTTTTTAAAAAATATCAAGAACAATTAATTAAAACAATAATTAATTAAAAATATTAAATATTCTTTAATAAATAGTAAATAATTATCATATTGCAGTTTCTAAGATGCAAAATAATTACCTCAACATCTGGTCCTACCGGCGTACTGTGCTCAGAATCACTATCGTCTTTTTCATCTTCCAAAGCTATCAAATGTTCTTCCTGTGTCTGGGGCATTAATTGTAATTCTTCTCTGCTTTTAAATTCCAATCGCGTTATATATAGAGGGCAAAGTAATCCCATAATCACCTAAGAACATATTTAAATAAACCTTAAGAAATAGATTTTAAGTATTATTTTAAATAATAAACATTAAAGTAGTCAGCATACACAGAATAATTTATAAGTTTATTGCTCAATCACCTTTAAGTTAGTATTTTTACGTGTACGAAGGCCACCCATCCATAAATCGGCCAAAATAATTTGGCTGCAAGGATGTGCTAATAACGGTCGGTGATTTGCTGTAACCGCGAGTGATAAGCATGTCTGCCCCGACCAATTTTGAAGTTCTGAAGTTAATAGCTGCTGTGTTTGATCATCATCTTGTCGATAGCAATAATCCAATAATTCTAATGCTATAAAAAGACATACGATTTACAGTTAATTATAAAGCATTGATTGCAACATGCAATTATAGGATTCACCTAACATTTATGCATACCAATGTTTTCAAATTCTTTGCCATAACCACGCAATTCATCATAAACCTCAGTTTCTAGATCATCCTCGGCCGCTTCATGCGCCATCGCCTTATACAATTTCAGCGCGACAAGCGCCTTAGCCAAAGCTTCCTCTCCATGTTGCCACATTAACAGAGCCATTTGTTGACGTTTGGTTAACACAGCCCAAATAAGCAACTCGTTAAAAGGATAATCAAAGAGAGGAGTATCACGATGAGTTGGTAACGTTTCAGCGAGTAAACTCATAGTCAAACTGTCAGCTTTTCCACTGGAACCTGTATAATAACGCATATTGGAATTTGGAGCGCAGCTATTTCGATGCATATGCTGATGACCACTACCAGATCGCTTCATCACTTTTGTATAGATCATACGAAATCTTCTTCGTGTATATTGCGCGCGATATGCTCCGCCCATCAGCTTATTAATCACAAGGCCGATATCATGCAATGTGTACATGTAACCTCGTGGAATATTTGGTCGTACATCTCGCAAGATGTAACCTAATGTATTTGATGGACCTTCTTTCTAATTGAGCCATCAGAAGAAAAAAATATATACTATATCACATATATTCGAATATTGTAATAGCTATAATCTAATTTTGTATAAATTATTTAGATAATCTCCTTCTCTATATTAAAAGAATCATAAGCGGATAAAAATTTAAAGCAAAAATATAAAAGTTTATTATAATTAAAAATAAAACTGTTCATTTACTATGTGATATGGATTATTTTTACTTATATTTAAATTGTTTACTAAAAGAAGTGATCGTTACAGAAATAAGGTTGACCTACCGTATTATACAGTTCTTCAAGACGAGGTATCGATAAAAATTTCCGCATCGATACTCCATTTTCCAGTAGAAGTTTCACAAAGTCTATTCTGTCATGTTGAAGCGCTTGCATCATAGCTTGCTCTAAAGCACCAGGTGGCCATTTTTGACCATAGACAAAGATTTCACTTCGGGCAATATCTACGCGGTTCCATATTAAAGAAAGAGACAACTGCTCAGCTGGGGATAATTGTTTTGATTTAAATAAAGCTGTCAATATTATTTGATCAAGTTCTTGCGGCCTATCTTGCGAAATCCTGAACACAGTGATCTAAGAATATAATTTTTACTTAGAGAAATTCTAAGTCACATTTATATGATAAAGGTAAACCTTATTTCTAATAAAAAATGTAAATACTAAATGTTTTTTTCGCGTGCACTGCAAAAGCTCTGAACAAAGTTGGCTTGCTTGTTCAGCAGTAACTTGAAAAGTACGTTTAATAGTTTCTAAAACTTGTTCCTTAACACCCTCCAATGGTCCTTCTCCATCTCCAGTTTGTCCATCTCTCCATCTATATAAAAATTCTTTGTCAACATGCATGGTTATATTCCTTTTACAAACAGACCCTATAAAATTGTATAAACTCGCTATTACTTGTGCATGAAAGCAATTAGATCAGCCGCACGTCCTGAACCATCACAAACTACCACAGGTACAGGTGGATCATCCGTCACATATTCTAAAACTGCACGGATTGTATTTGTTCCGCCTTCAATAACTAATGCAACTACCGGTATGCTACTATGTGTATCTGAAAGCATTAGAGCTGATAAAACAGAGTTCGTTAAATTATAAAAAATTTAATATGTATTAATCATTGTAAAGCTTACATGGTTGTAATTTTAAATTTGAAATATATTTTTCTAATCTTCTACGAAGAACAATCTCTGCACCATATCGACCACCAGTACCATTGTCTACTAATAAGAAGTAAGCATGTCGATTGTTTAATACTGTATACTTAGTCCTGCAAATTCATATACAGACATATTTAAAAAAAGCATATATTTCAAAAATACATTGTTTTGCGCTGTAAGTGTACAGTTTTACCATGGTGAAGAGAGGCAATCATATGACACTTCTCCACCGCGGCCAATTAGTTCGTGACTTTTATCCAAAATTCCCCATGGGGCTATACCTATGCTTACTACACGACCCTGTCGTTGAGAACGTTCTAACAATAATGCGTCACCAACTTGCCGTGTAACACCTACGAGAATCAACATAAATATAAAAAGAATCAAATTTATTAAAATTATATTATTACTTTTAGTTACATTATATTATTATTTTGAATAGAAATATACCTGTATTTGTTCCTCCTGTGAATATCCATGCCCCTGTTGTTTTAGCGGCTTTCAATAAACCTTTACGCAAAACTTTTTTCAGACTAGGTTGAAGTTCGAAATTTGATCGACCACCATGAACTGTAATTAATAATTTAGGCAATCCTAAATTCCATTCTCGACATAATAGTTGTATAATCGGTTCTGGTCGTGTATCATGGGCCAATCTTACGTACTACAAATATGCAATGTCATTTCATTTATAGATGTAATATTTATATTACCTTATTAATATTATTACAATAGAATATAATATTACTAAAATAAAAAATATCAGATTTTGATATCTACTTGTGCTTTCGTAGGATGTGGACCACCCTGAAATTCTATGGTACCATATGCATCAGTAGGAAAAGGACGAGTATTTTTTCCTGGTGACCATTGTTCACGATCCTTTTCTTGACTCTCGCTAAGATTGAAGCTTTGGACATCCGCTCCAGTTCCGCAATGATGGGTGTACGAATAGCCACAGCAACACCTGTAATAATAATAATAACAATTTATATATATATATATATATGCAATATACCATTAAGAATCAGACATTCTGTATGTATCAATTATATTCTTGCACTACTTAATAATTTCATTTCGATTATAAAAATGTTATGCGTATACTATAAAGCATAAAATTTTTTAATATTCTTCAGAAAAAGTATACAAGATTTATATAATAAATAGTACTAGTACTCATCAAATTGACTAAAAAAGTTCTTAATATAGATTCCAAACTCAATTCTTTTGGAATTAAAAATATTTTTTTATGTCAAAATATTTCTATATATCAATTAATTGTTTTTATGTCTAACAATTAGATCTATTTTATGATTACATAAACGTCAATGAACATGATAAATATCTATATCTTTAAACTATATACGGCTCTTGGAGAGAACTGTAACATTTCAATAAAAACAAATCGCTTTTAATTCTAAAATTGAATCGGATTTATGTTCATTAGAAAATTTTTATTCAAATCAATAAGTATTTATCATGTATAAATTTTACAGTTTTTTAATATTCTGTATATTAATATAATACTCGGTAGCATCAAATAAATATCATATGTA